TATTAATCTATATAAATAAAAACGTAGATGTTGGTTTGTTACCCCTCGCAGATCTCCGAAAGTTCTTCACCGATTGCTTTGAAATTTTGACACAACGTTGCATTCGAATGCGCGCGTGTTTTTATATACCTACCAGCTGTACCTGCAGTGTTTATCCGTGCTTATGTTCGTCCATATGCCGACGTTGACAACACTGAAATTATCTCGATGATCTCGATCTTCTCGATCGTTTTATGTGACCTTAAGCTTGATTTTGGCGGTTTTGTGTAAAATTTGCTTGTGGTGATATTTCTGTTGAGGTCTGTGTTAAAGCCAGTTAACATAATATAAATGATGCTTTGACAAAACGAACTTATAATATTGGTTGTATAAACGTATATACATTTTAAACTATATTTCCGGCATTTGAGTTAAGGTTAGAGCTATCATGGGTCTTAAATGAGATTTTGGCATAAACACTATTTGAATGCCAGGACAAAATGGATTTCCAACAAGATAACTATACTGGGATCATTATGCAAAAAATTGAGGAACTGAGATCATGGCAGCGTCAACAGCAAGAAAAATTGCTGCAGCAGCAGGAAGAACAGAGATTGTTACTCAGTAACGAGCAGCAGCGGATGTATGAAGTGTTTGGGCTTCAAGATATGGGTTTGTAAATATCTTAATATAAAAATCACAACCTGTCCATGGAAATGAACGTACTCTTTCTATGACTATATATTACTCTTGCAGATACATTTCATGCACAGTCTTTCAAGTCAGCTGTATTACCTCACTTCAATAAATGCCTTAATTCACCCAAGGAAAAGAATCCAGATGATGATGGTGACCAAACACCAGAAGAAGATGAGTGTAGGAATAACAGAAATGAGCTTCGTTCAGATTTATATGTAAGAAAGACAAGTGAACATACTCCAGTTACAAGTCCAACACTTCAGTCCGTATGTAATGTATTTACTTACTTTTCTGAATAGTACAATATATATACAGTACTTTAACATCTGTGTAACACATGTAATTTCTGAAGTTTCAGTGATAAATGCAGCATGGTTTGCATTTAATTTTTTTTCTTTATGCCTCTCAGTGAAAAAGACCAACTTTTATCATCTTATAAAAATGGTAGTTAATACTGAAATATTCTGTTGACTTTTCTATTTAGGTCATGAAAGACAATGCTAAAAAGACACAGACTTTGGATGATACACCTGTGGTGCCTTTAAATAAAGATTTTCATCAGTTTTTGCAAGAAAAATTGGAACAATATGGTTGTGGGGATAATAATCATATTGAAGATATGCAACAGAAGCCAAAAAGGAAGTTTCTAAGGAAGGGAGAAGGTCTTGCAAGATTCCGTATGAAGCCAACTTTGCTTCAACCTCAGGAACAGAGCACTGGTAAAGGTAATGTCAAGAGAACTTTAATTACAAACCAGCCAAATAGCAGTGTCACAAAATTGGGTAATCCAAGCAACAAGTCCAAGAAGACTGCATCTTCTTCAGTGACAGGCAGTAACAGGAGTAATGTAAAAAAGAAGCAGTCCAAAAACTGTGTTGGAAGTGATAAAAGTCATACAGCTGGATTGTCAAAGACTTCAAAATCTCAGTACCCAAAAAGTGCAGTGCCAAAGTTAACTCTAAAAAGAAAAGAAACATCCCCATCAGTTCCTACATGGGCAAATATTCTGCAACAGCAAAAACATTCGAGTCAAAATCTGCAGTCACAGGATGGTGATTCCAAAGTCCAGCATAGGATTGATTTGCCGCAGAATGGCCCTATGAATGATTCTATAGAAGTTTCATTTCTGGAAAAAGTTAATGATGCTGATAAAAAAAATAAGGTAAGTGACCGGGATGTGTTCACAAGACTTGTAGAATGTAATGCAGTAATGAAGTTCAAAAGTATGGTATCTCAATTCTGCATTAGTATATACATACAGGGAAGTCATCTGAGGGCATCACTCAGTCACTAGCAGAACAGGCATCTAAGGGATTTTCCAGGGGAATGTTCATATAGCACCATTTTCATCCAGTTTCTCATTAAACGCATGGTGTTTTGATTCATTTCTTTTCTCTTCCCTTAAAGACTTTGTCTGTCCATATTGTCATGTGTATTAGTGACTAATAATGTGGGTTCTGGATTGGATGAACAGGTTTATTTACTCCTGATACTACCAGTAATTACACATAATTGTAGTACTATCACTTATTTACATACTTTCCAGTCCACTATTGCACACACACTAGGTTTCTCAGTTTCCACTTGTAATCTCCTAGCAACATATCTCAACACAAATTTGCATTTCAATAGAACCTGTGTTGGAATAAATTAAATTCACTTGGCTGAGGGTATATGCCACAACAAACTGTCATACTAAAAGGTCTGGAGAGGGATACTTTCAACATTTTTGTAGCCTTTATTAAGGAGGGGAGAAAATGATTAAAATTGTAGTTGTCAGTTAAATACATTTTCTGAAATTTCATGTAACAGTTTTACTTACCTGGTGTTTGTCTGCATCATGTTTAAACTACTCAGAGGGATCTGATATTAAAATCTGTTTAATTCTTTCATTGACAGAAAGAAGTGGAAGAATTAAAAATATTTGAGCTGCTAGAACAACATGCAGCTAATTCTAGTTTCTGCTCAACATCCTCTTTAGTTGCACGACTGATGGATGGTTCTATAAATTCAACACCGGTGAAGAATTACCCACTTAGGACAACTCATAATCACCAAAATGAGAAACTTACAGCGTCGCTACTTCACCCACATTCTCAAAACAGCCACAGTAACCAAGAGCAAATGTTGGCAGGCAGTCATCAATTTCAAAATGAAAATACCATTTGTGAGTACCTTCCTTATGGCTTGGATAATGCAGACAGTGAAAGTCTGACTAATAAAGGTCTGGCTAATGATCGTCTCAAATTTGGTGTGTACGAAGAGAATAAAAGTTGTGTTTCAAAATTAACTATAAGCAGCAGTAATCACTGGGAATCAAGTGGTGGACAGACAAGTCTGAACACATCCAGCAGCAGTATAGGAGTGACCACTGGTGTTAACTCACCTTGTAATAAACACTTACATGTTAGGTTTGCAGAGACAAATGAATATAAATCTGTAAGTGATGTTGATACATCCTTTTCTTCACAGGGAGATTCAACCATAAACATAAAATATAGGGATAACTGCGAAAATCAAAAACTGGAAACTATGAACTATGAAAAAAGAACAGATGCTAAGCATTTCCGAGATGACCAGGCCTGGAGTGATGACTGTAGCTGCACTAGCAGTGAAGAGAGCAGCTCACCTGACCCTTCGCTAAGTACTAAGTGTCAGACACTAACTGCAACCCATAGTCCCAAGCCATCAACTCCACACCAAACAGTAAAGCCACAGTATCAGGTGTGCAGTACAGAAAGGAGCACTGACAGATTTCCAGAGGATGTGGACAAATTGTCACATGGTTTTCTAAACAACTGTGCTGATAATGTTTCTCATACCGATGATCACGACCAGACTGACTTTGGAGTGACAACCCAAAGTAACAGCAATAGTGAGATCACATTCAAAAGTGCTTTGCTGCGGACTCGGTTGGAAGAGCTTGAAAAGGAGATTCAGATTTTTCGCAAAGAGAATACTAGTTTGCGGAAGATACAAAAGAAACACGAAGAGGAGTTACTGAGCTTTAATAAGGAGAGAAAGGAGCTAGAGAAGAAGATGAATGAAGAGAAGGAGAAAATTCAATCATTCCTTCAGGAGGAAAGGAAAAAACTAAACAAAGAGAGATCAGTATTTGAGAAATATTGTAAGGATCTAAGGAATCAGCCTACGAAGCAGGAGAGGGAGGAAATACAAGCCTTAAAGCAACAGGTATTATATATAAGCATTAAGTAATGTGCAAAAATTGAATTGGGACATTACTTATTATAATCTGATACACAATTTTCAACCCTTTCACTGTAACAGTTTTTTTTAAAGAACGTCCTTTCAGAATGCTGCCATGATGAAATGTAATTTCAGTTTTTGAAAATCCACAAACAGGTTTAATTGTTGATAGATGGCAGGAGACATATTTCTTTCACTCTTATTAAACAGAAAACAAATCCAGACCATAGAAATCAGTGTGATTTGAAGCACAATATCTCATGCACAAATTGGGAAGGATTATGATCATAACTCTTTTCCCATTGTTACAATAAATTAAAAACAGGGCTTTTGTAGTCCCACTTTTAATCTGAAACCTCGTTTGTCTCATCTTTCAAGGTAAATGTTTTATATGCTTGGGAATGTCAAGTAAAATGTCATGAGAAACCCAAACCCACCAAACATATCAGGGGTTCTGAATTTGCAAATCTTGCATTTCATCAACAACAAGCAGAAGTATCCATTCTTTGCCTAGGGTATAGTTGCTTTCCTTGTCAGTATCACTCCATGATTTTAGTCCGCAAGTGAACTATACCGACCGCCGCTTGTTGGCGAAGTGTAGTATCACAGTAATAACTAAAGCTTTAAACAAAGAATAGCATAAACTGAAAAATTAAAGCCTGCTCATATAATTTTAAAAAACTGAGAATGAATATTTGAGCTTCATTGAGAATATTTACCACAATACTTGCACATTGCTGTCATATATAATTTCAAACATATGGTGTAAAGTCGCAGTATCTTTGGTTATTCGCTAAACTAGGGTACAAAAGACCTCAGTCAGGACTGCTGGTCTGTAGGCCAGGACCTCCCAGATATGACGTGGAAGTGTGTCCCACACAACAGTACATTTGGTTTCAATGGTTAACACCCAGTTTGTGTGTGAGTTCCCAGGGATAAGCTATCCTGAGGTTTCTCTGTGGCTTTCTTTAGACCCTCCAGGCAGTCGGTGGGAAATTACTTAATAGCAGGCCATTATCACTTTCTTCCGCACCCTTTCCATTTCATTTTTCATTAATCACATTATTCAATAATACATATATAACCTATGTGATTGAAAAATCGTTGTTAAATAACCTAAAAATCATGATCAGAGGATTGACATATCATAATAATGGAATTTATGTTATATGAATGTTTTACTCTTAGTGTACTTTGTATGTTTGCAGCTGGCAGACTTACAAGAAGAGATGCACAAGAAAGACAGCAGGTGGAGTGCCACTCAAGTTCGTACAAGGGATCGGCTGAAGCAACTTGAACAGGAAAATACACAGCTTAAGAATGAAATTGAAAAACTCAAAAAAGAAAAAAGTCAAGCAAAAATGGTTAGAATCTCAATGCAATATTTTGCAAACAGCAACCTTTCTTTTATTTGCAAATGTAGATTACACTTTAAAGTACAAAACTTTTCCAAAAGAGTACTGTCTTCTGGGACACAATACTGCGTAGTCCAGTAGAAGTCCATGCAGTATCTTGGAATAATGTACTGCCTCCTTAGCATGAGCTAAGCAAGCAACAAGCAAGAAGCAGGCAGCAAACAGAGCAGGCTTGCTGCCTGCTGTAAAGACTTCTACTAGATTGTTTTGGAGGCTGATTCTGCTTTCATCATCAGGTAAAAGCATTCTTGCTCTCTTTAGTCATTAGATGGAACTTATCTCACATTCAGGGACACAAATTATCTCCATCTAATGGATCCAACAGAGTAGGTTCCAACTTTTACCTGATGATGGAAGCAAAGGAAGCTTGCAAAACATTCTCTTCAAACAGAACTGAGAATGTCCATAATGTGTCAGTTTAATCACCAGATGTCTCCACTATATGCACAGAGACATTATAAACTGTCATCCTCTGGTTCTCGTGCTGCATTATACAGGGTGTCCCAGGAGGAATGTGCCAAACTTCGGGAGGGTGTTCCTTATGTTAAAGTATGCCGATATAACCCAAAACACCTATGTCCAAAGTTGAACGGTTACGGAGATAATGGCCCAAGAAAAGTGTGGTCTTCTGGCAGGTCCAAGCACTGTACCTCGCTGTACCTCTCAGCTGAGAGCCCTTATCTATGTTTGTCCTTGAGTGCGATGATACTCCCTAGCCGTGCTTATGTAGTTGGCTCATACCAGAACGCGCAGTCAGCACGTTACGTCATCGCTCGCCAGTCATGTGTTATGTATACTGCTTGGAAACCTAAGGACAATTATGACATGGCGAGCGAGTATTTTGTACTTCAATTTTATGGCTTTCCGTCACTCACAAGTTGGTTTGATGTTACGTACATTATTAACATTACAGAATCCACATATTCCTGCCAGTTTTAATATGTATTTTGTAATCAACAAGTGTGTAACCCCGGTCAAAGTTTGACACTTCTCGGGCCATTATCTCCGTAACCGTTCAACTTTGGACATAGGTGTTTTGGGTTATATCGGCATACTTTAACATAAGGAACACCCTCCCGAAGTTTGGCACATTCCTCCTGGGACACCCTGTATATATCAATATTTTTATTTTTCTAGAGAGAATCACTATTACTAGTATCACCATTGGGGGGGGATACTTTTTTAATATTTCTGACAACTAGATCTTTAAAATAATGAAAATCATCGGAATGGCTACATCTTGGCACCCACCCTCTTCTCCTTTATTGTACATCTTTCATTCAGATTTTCAGCTGTGTTGAAAAATTAACAACACAGAGCAGAGACCTCCTTCAGAACCTGATATTCACTCAACTACTTAAGAAATCCCCCCCATTTATGGAACCTGAGGGTTCATTACCATGTTCCCAAATTCCCTCACTGGACTGTATTCTGAGTCAGATAAATCTAGTCCTCATACACCCTATTTCACTACAGTAATAATCCTACCACTTATACCTGGGTCTCCAAAGTGGTTTCTTTGCTTCAGGTTTTATGACTAACTTTTGAATCTGTTTCCCAGCTGTCCCTTGTGTGCTGCATATGGACCCATATGATGAACAGTATATCAGGTAGTAATAAAAACTAAGAACATAAGTTAAACTAAAATATTTACCCCATGTCAGTCTCTGTCATTGCCTCATTTTCAGTAAAACTGTGTACATAAAAAAGGTGAAGTTGTCCCAGTGCTTAATTAATTATTACACCATGAAGACATGGGAGAATGAAGGTAAAGTGCCACAATTCTCTACCTCAGCACTAGATGGAGGTGAACAGTCAGCTTCAAGCCCTGAGGAATGAGCCCCAGAACCCATTGGATAGGAGGCTGGGTGGGCCCCAGAGCTGGTCTGGACACTGTAGAGAAGAGAAAAATCTCTTGCCCTTGCCAGGAATTAAACCCCAGCCCATAGCCCATTACTATACTGAGCTATCCTGGCTTCTTTATGTGAAAGAAAGTGAAGGTGCTGTATGAAAAACGAGCCCTGTGTGACTATCCACCATCTTGGCATATTTGTAATGTAAGTTCTCTTCTTCTGCAGGTGAAATCCAGCACAACAACAAAAAGTCGTGGAGTGTCTACAACAAGGATGCTTCATGCTATCAATGATCATATCGCAAAAATGAAACCCAATGATTTGGAAGATTCTGTTATAGTCCATGATGTTGTGCCTACAAAGAAGATACCAATGTCTGTTCTTCAACAACAAAACAGTCTCAGACACAAACAAACTAAAGTCAAACACAATAATGATACCGAGATTAATGAATGGGGAGATATATGCAACAAAGCATACCAGACATATCTAAACATTCCATATCTTAACCCTCAACCTTCTACAGACGAATTGCTTGGAGTTAAAGAAGACAAAACTTCAGAGACTATTGGTGTAAACTGTAGAGCCGCAAACAATTCCAGTCAGGTCAACAAAGATACAGTTAAAAATGAACTTACAAATCATCACACTTCTTTAGATTGTGTTTCGTATTCATCCGAAGAGGAAGATACTGAGGGAAACACTGGGACTTCACCACATGTGGCACTCGACAATAAGAGAATTCACATGGCCGTTTATGATGCATTTTATAATACCAATCCAATATTTAACAGAGAAGTATACCCTGAAACAGGCAGTATTTCCAAAAATTTTCCTTCACAGCAGCTCTTACGAAATGGTGAAAATGGTGGGGAAGATACTAGAGTTAGTGAGAACAAGTATGAACAAAGTACAACAAGTGGGGATTCAGAAGTGATTTACAACTCAAATCATCTAATTAGAACAGATCTTCAGAAAGAGAATGTATCACTTCCTTCATCAGCACAGGATTCTAATATACCATCACAGCAGTCTATGATACAAGAAACACAAAATTCTAGCACAGTATCAAAACCATCTTCAAATAGGGAGAAAGTCTATTCAGATGGAAGAAAAGAAATTTTGTATCCAAATGGTAACCTAAAGAAGATATCAGCTGATGGATCTCTCACTAAGATGATCTACTACAATGGGGATGTGAAGGAGACACTCAGTGATGGAACGGTGAAATACTTCTATGCTGAAACAAAGACTTGGCACACAACTTACTCAGATGGTCTGGAAATACTTGAATTTCCAGAGTAGGTATATCCAATAGTCCTTATATATGTTTATTGGTGTAGGAAGAGTGAACCTGCTATAATTAGAAGGAAAAGCTCTTTACATGCATTCAGTGACTGACTTTGTGGACATTACCCACTGTCCTAATTTTTGTTTAAAACATTGCAGTCTCTGAACATCACTTTAAATACGAATTAAGACCACAGATAATGTCCACAAAATCAGTCACTGTATTAATATACCCCTGTCTTAGGTTTTCTTTACATGCTTACTTATTTAAGCAGTACAAAGTAATGCATAGCATTTACTAATAATCCACTGAAGATGAATAATGAACTTGATCTGTGATCACAGGGAAAGGCCAAAGAGGTACCACTCTTTCCATCCCTTTTAAGTTTCATGCAAACCAGAACTTTGACACATTTGGTATGTATGCCTGTTAGTCACTATTACTACACTGGTATAAATGGAATGGTGGTAACTAGTAGTAAAATATACTGCTAGCCACTTCTTGTTGCTTTCACAGTAAAATTTTTAGTCAAGAAAATCAGGTTGACTCTTCAATACACAAAAGAAAATCAGCCTCTACACAGGTTAATAATCTATATAAAATTTCATACACTTTGCTGTAAAGATTTTTCATAGTTCAGAACAGTTCTAAGTGAACCATGTTTTCATTTTCATTTTTAAACAGAAATTACCTTAAATTTCCATATTTTCTTACATTTATCTCATAAAATAATCTCTGTGCCAAATCAGTGGACATTAATATTGTTTTGAGAAATTTAAACACTTTAAATTCAGAAAGCAGTCTTGTGGGATTTGGCACNTAAATTCAGACTGGAAATTTAACCCATAACTTCTTATGTTTATGTAGTTTTTAGTTATACTTATACACTCTGGATAACTGCTAATGTCTTATCTTCACCATCATCAGTGGTCAAATAGAGCGCCGTCAGAAAGATGGAACAAAAGAAATGACATATCCCAACGCTACAGTAAGGACATGTTTTCCTGATGGCCATGAGGAGTGGGTTTTCCAAGATGGTGTGGTGGTTAAAGTAGACTCTCAGCGTGGTGAGAAGGTTTTACTTCTGCCCAATGGACAAAGGGAAGTGCAGACCAAGGAACATATGGTAAGACTATTCTGGAATTTGTTCTAACTGCTGCTTTGTGCAAGGAATCACCCTTACAAATTCTATACATGAAATGACATGTTTGTTACAAGATTTATTTTCTTAAATCCCATTTCCAAATATTAGGATGGGTTAATTTCAAGTCACCCCCCACCCATTTTATTTTTTAAGTTCCCATTCGTTGCTTGATGTTGGACAGTCACAATCAGTACCAGACAGTTAACTATGTACCCACCAAGCTTCCTTTTATTATTATTTATTTATTTTTCTGCACCCTATAACCCCCACCAAGAAAACAAAATCTATAAATACTTTCCAGTCACAAGCCTTGAAATTTTATCTTTGTGTTATACTCAATTACAAATACAATTATTTTTGGTCTATCCTCATTTTAGCGCCGTGAGTACCCAGATGGCACTGTCAAGACTGTCTATCCAGATGGAATTCAGGAAACAAGATATGCAAATGGAAGAATCAGAGTGAAGGATAAATATGGAAATCTGATCATGGATTCAATAATGCAAAGACTGTAGCAAACTAATATCATGTATTATAATTAAATTGAAAATGTGGTCCTTAAAAAAGTATTAACTAAATTGTATGTTCAAATTTATTTGCAATAAGATATATTTAATTTGTAATATAACATTTGACACAGCTGTTACATGGAAGAATGCGTGTAACTACTGTTTTAAATGAAAAAGAATGACACATCATCTTGCCATCTAAAAGTGGTAACTGCAATGATTCCTATTAACAATGAACAACATTTTCCATTTTTGCACTGCTCCAGTCATTGATGCTTACATTCCGCTTTGATTCATCATCTGACATAGCACCAACATCCATTGTGAATGGAATAGGTTTCATATTCTCTGTTGTATGGAACAGACGTTTTAAAGCATCATGTGCTGCCATTTCAATTGCAATGGAAATGGATTCACCATAACCTGAAACAAACATTCAAAAGGATAAAGTACACAAACATAAACACAAAAATGTCCTTAAATTGAACATTACAGTAGAACCATGATTTAATGATCCCTAGTCCCACCTGTGTGTGATGTAGCATGCCCCAACTTGGACGGGAGAAGTAGTGCTGTTGTCAAATAATTTAAACTTCAGGTGTTGAAGAATGCACTCACAAGCTTGTGGTGTACGAGTATGTGTGTCTAGTGGAACAGTGCTCACAAATAAAACACAACTAGCAATGTGCCTGGCCAACACATGACTGATGGACAGTCTATTTTGAGGCAGAAATCACTGATGTCGGTGCTGACCAGTACTGTTTTAAAGCAGACAGAGATGAATGCTGATAAAGGGGATTTGTAAATCACAGCTGGACTATGATGCAGTGACCCCTAAACTATGTTTGACAGATTTCATTATAATCATAGGTTTAAAGCAGATTTATATTAATATTGCAAGACCACAGGCACTCTTTATTCTTCATTAAACATTTGTCATATTCTAAGGAGCTTAAATTGCATAGTCTACCACTGCTGCCATCCAGAGGTGAATTCTGTTCATCTTTGGAAAGTCTTATTTTAATTGAACTCTTCAGGAACTGAAGTATTTGTATAGCCTGTCAGTGCTCAAAAAATTTTCCCCTACCACTATGTAGTTGTTTTGTGTAGCAATCTGAAATGGCAGATACATCTGATACAAATAGTCAATCTCTGGCCTTGATACCCGAACAGCAATATGCACAAAATATGGATGTCACTGATTTAATATTTCACAAAACAGGGTTATTTTAGGGCATGGTACCAGTTGCAGACATATTTCTTCAAAGAATCTGGAAGATCAGATGATGAATTTTGTAGATCATTTTTCACAATCCATAAACCAGTCTGAGGCCACTAGTTAGTAAATCTAGCATGATTCATGAGCATTAGGGTTGTGGTTGTATAATGAAATTACTTGTTTGAGAAATGTTTGTAAGTATGTAACAGAAGTTAATGCACATATTTTCAGGAGACAAATTTTTAACAAGACTCCTCCTTCCTACACCTCGCATCCACTAGCAAAATCTTCGAAGTAGTTCATATTATTTAATGTTACCCACAAAAACTGACCTTTAAAGGTGCAATAACAATTGAATTTTATAACTGCATCTTTCACTGTTGTATAAAACTGATTTATATAATATGTGAGGTTTTTATCGTGGTGAAGATTAATATGTTCTGGGTTATAACACCAGAGGAACATACTGCCTCCATCTTTACCATAGAAGCTGAAGGCATATGTTCCTGTGAAATGTCAACACCCACCTACAAAACGACATGGTATCATAACCCAGGATACAAGACTCAGGAAGTATGTTCCTCTAAAAATTTGGTACCTACCAACAAACTATAGAATATCATAACCTACAAGACCACAATTTGTGGACTATAATGAATGACAGAGTATATTCACTGCCATACATTCAAGTTGTATTTACAATTGGTATACTTAAACTATAAGCTAAAATCATAACACACTGTAAAGAAATTATATTTATTCTATACATGAATAATTTATTAAAACTTTTAATTCCCATATGCTTGTAGTTTTCTTCCCAACCCCACTGAATCTGGCACAGTCTTCAGTGTGAAGACTAGTCTTGTTATCCTACAAAAATGTTTACTTATACGGGGGAATTTCATGACCACCTGGGCAACTGTTTCCCAAAAACCTTATTCTATGGTATATAATATGATTAATTCTCTGGTATTTGAACACAGTGACACCTGCCTTAATCCAATCCATATCACCAAACTTATTTTCAATACCCATTTTAATTGCCCTTTACTTTCCAAAAGGTTCCCCAATAAAATTCTGTAACATTTCTTTTTTCTACCACCAAATATCTATGTTCAACCCTTCATAACCTACTTGGTTTAATCACCTACTGGGAGACATGAAATTTATTTCATAATTTTCTCCATTATACTACTACAGCCATCTTTTCTCCTCAGAATTTTTTGTAATAATTTAAGTTTATATTCTTTCCTGAAGGCAAGACACAACTGTTTATTTACATTTACACACGTGTGTGTGTGTGTGCGCGCGCATGCGTGTATAACACACGCAGTCACAGGAGCAAGGCACAACACAAAGCACGATACACACAAGAAAGTAGGAAGAATACTCCGATAGAAGAAGATAGGTATGACTCGCGTATTGAAATAGGACATAAGGATGACAAATCCTGAACAGTTTTAATATCTTTAATATTTAAAATTTATCAATATATATGATGAATATATATTTTAGTATGAAGACAACAGGGCATGCAATGAAGTAGTTCGATGTACATCGAAAAGCACCTGAAGATGGCACTTTTGTGCTGAAACGTGTAGTGTAAGAGAGAAGAGTAAGGTGAATAAACGTATGCACTGTAAGACGGTCAGAATAAATCATGGACACTGATTTCTAACTAGTGCCTTAGGTAATGCTTAACTTTTGCTTTCCCAACAATCACACAGTTAAACTTACCTATGCTTAAAAACTCTTTATCTGAGTAGAGAGCAACTTGGTAAGAGGCAAGTACTGTGTTACTCCCACTTTCACCGATGACCCTTGGCTCTGGCTCACCCCTGCCATCACGTTTCAATATGTCTGTAAGAGTTGTTATGGGATCCTTAATTTCCCAGAACTCATTCACATCTCTTCCTGCTAGTTGTGTAAGAAGGAAGTCACGGACAAACTCTCTAGCCCTGTCTTCTCCAGAGCTCTCTGCAAGTGCTCCAACTACAGCTTTCAATGTTGTTGCAAGAGTAACTTCTTCAACAGGAAAATCCTGTAAAATCACAGATGAAAAAAGACCCCAGCTCTTTTATTCAAACTCTGCCTTGAATGTAGCTTCAAAATTCAAGGTGTATTATTTTCTGCTCAAAACTTAAGAAGAATGCCAACATCCATCATATGGAAAACGTGTGTTCTGGGATTATTTAATGAGTCAAAACTAGACTGGCACATTAATATCACGTCAGTAAATTACGGTCACCACTTACTTCCTCCTTCATTCTACAGTCCTCTAAGAACCTTGGCTGCCTTCACTACAAATGACCATTTTCTATTATTTGCCCTCTCCCTCCAACTCTTCACTATCAGCTCCCATACATCATTTTCTGCATCTTCCAGCCATCTCAATCTCCCACTTCTCTTCTACCCTCTATCTTCCTTGCAAAAATTTTCTTAGATGCTCTTTTTTGATACATTCCAACCACACGCTCAACAACTCAAACCTTCTGCTTTCACTGTCCACTGCCAGGTCAAGAACGCAAATTGAAATAACTCAAATTAAGCAATTAAAGTTTACTATGAAATTAAAAAAAAAAGACAGAGAGAGAGACTGGCAGTGAGGATTTGAATTACATCCAGAAAATGTACTGCAGTATTTGGATATCGCTTTAACAGCCGCTGGTACCATTGCTACCATACATATTGGAAAAAGTATGGCATCGATTTCATAATATATTTGGGTGTTCTCTTTTAGGTCTACAATAGGGAGAAAACGATAAAGTTACATTATTATATCTATTATATGTAAATACATAAATGTGTATTATCATCATCATCCATTCACATTATTATATGGGTTGTTATTTTCTGGCAAAGCCTTCCCCAATTTTCTGTATCCTACTGAACCTTCCTCCTGTACCTGTGCCCGTGCTTTCCCTACCATTTTTGTCTTGGTCTCTCCACTTAGTGCTTTTATTTCCCCACTGATCATTTATGCAACTTCATTATATATATGACAGGCTGATATGTGTATAAACCCGGTCTAGAAAACCAAAATTAATGAATGGCCGTGGGGATTTGTCACACTGACCACGTGACACCCTCTATCCGCTAAAGTTTGCATTAACTTCACCGACAAGCAGTGGTCACTCAGTCAGTATAATTCACTTGTGGACTAGAGTCATGGAGTTTGTTTTTGATATATGTATAAAAATTAAGTCACATGAACAGCCACTGGGAAAATGAAGTACTAAATGGATATATAAGAGCAGGAATAGAGCACTTAAGGAAGGATACAAGTCATGAGCTATCCCAAAGAGGAAAGAACACCAATGGACGTTTACATTAATATATATTAAAGTAGAGTAGAAAGACTCATACAAAATACAAAACATTGTCTGGTGAACAAAGGATATGACTACTTTGAAATTAATCTTGCCTGACAATTAAATGGTAATCAAGAAAATACCTAATTTTATAGAAAGCAACTGTCAACCATGGTTCATGCTACATTAGACAAGTTATATTCTACTTACAGAAGAAAGAATGATGTCACTGGTTCCAAGATGTCGGGAAACATGGGCCAAAGTTTCAACTGACATCAAATGGTCAAGGATAGCACTAAAAAGAACAAACATATTGAGCTAGCACAAACATATCACACACTATAGCATCACTAAATAAACTGATAATAGGTTTTGCTGAAAAAACTTGAAACAACAATACAACACAATGTTTTGATACAAAACATATATGATTCCGTTCTGTGTACTCTGTAGGAACAGAGATAAAGCGGAAGCAATAGAATGACGATGAGGCTTCCCATGTTAAGTCCTGGGCTTGGAGCTGACCAGATCCCTTTGCTTGACTCTGAAAAGTAAAAGATTTCTGAATTTAACATATGCCAGCCCCTTTCCCCATAACCACTAGAGCTGACAATAAGCAGTGAGTTCCTCCTGTCAGCATATATCTTCATTACCATCATCACATCAGGAGAAAAATATGTATCCCAACTTGCAGAATTTTTTAATTCAAATGCAGATTCCTGCCTTTACTTTTTATGGCAGGTACGAGAACGAAGGGCCAAGGCCACGCCTAAAGGCACAAAGCATGACAACAGCAATTACATTACTGATTCTTAAATCATTTAATAATATTCTATCCACTGCAGAAGAAGTTATATTGCATCAAAGGACAGCAAAAGATGTCACGAATGGGGAGTGGAATGAGGTGGCTATGTTCTGCTTTAAGGCACTATTGAGGAATTAGTCTGAAGAGAATGAAGAAAATTATACACAAAACCCTAGTGAGGATACTCATTAATGTGGCTGCAATTTAAATTAAGTACTTCCTGAGCATATGTACAGTGCATCCCACTACAAAACCTGCTACGGAGCAACAGCTCAGAAAAGGGAAGGACATTAAATAAATTGACAAAACCTGAGGACTGATGTTGACAACTTTTCTCTTAAACAGTTCCCATTAGAAGATCACATACGCCATACCCTAAGGGGGGAAAGGGCAGGATATAAATTATTGTAATACATACCATATCCCTTCTTCTGGGAATCGAGGGAGGGCAAATCGGAGATGATGCTTTAAATATTCACTCATCAATGCCTCTCCTCTTCTAGCCAATTCTTGATTGTCCTCAAGGCTAAGCTTGGGATCTTCAATACCAACTTCCTTCTGTCTCATTTCCTCTTGCACAATGTAGGAACGGTGAGTTAAAGCACGCTGCAGTAGATCCTTCTTAAATTCTTCACCAAGCCGTTTTCCAAAAGCATACAGTTCAGATTGATAGTTCCTGGACAAAAGCACATTTCATCAGTAACAAAAAGAGTTGAAAATCAGTTACTTCCAACAATCCAGTACCATCATGCACTTCAGCTCAAATATAAACAAATGAACTGAAAGCTATATCTTTAGAATATGTGATGACTATAGTTAGGAACTGGATGTGTAAGAGACAGCATATACAAAGTACATAAAATGAATGTGTAATGGGGAGGTTATGTCTTGTCCATATGTCTGTCTCTATGTTTCATCTCCAAAATCAATGAAGTGGTTTCCTTTCATTACAAGGAACGCAAGGCAATGCTTGATATGCACAACAAAAAACAACACACCTAATATGACACAGAAATAGCAACAATTAAAAAAGACCAAGAAGATATTAAAGTACATCAACGGCATATCTTAAGAATACTATATGATCAGTCTACAGTGAATTATAATCCTTAAAAATTATTCTCTGAAGATGGCCTTGTGACGGCGAAACATGGAGTAACATAATAACAACAACAGGTATATATATTTTAATAACATTTTATACATTTAACAATCATATGAATTAAATGTGAATTAATTTTATTAATTTGTTGCATTATAGATAGAAAAAGTACATGACTATAAAAGGTACATCAACACAACAGGATGCTAAAATATAATAAAATATAATATTCCTTCCATTAATTGATTTTAACAAAATTCTCTGTGGTATCGTTTTTGCATTCATATGGGTGATAAGGTTGGATTTTCTTGTGATATCTATACTAGCAATCCCCAAATTCCCAATTCATTCCAGCAGTGATGAACTGACATAAATTTTCTATGAGTGCTCACATATACCTGGACCTTAGCTCCATTATTCCCAGAATTCATGCTCCAAGATTTCCAAAGAGCTCATTCATGGGAACTTCATATTCTCAGCTTTTATGGAAATTCTGAGAATGTTACCCTAAGGAAACAGGATAGCGCAGTCGATATAGTGACTGGCTACAGGCCAGACAACCAAGAAGTCAGAATTCAAGTCCCGGTAGGGTCAACAAATTTTCACTTCTCTATGTCGTCCAGACCGGCTTTGAGGTCCACCCAACCTCCTATACAATGGGTACTGGGGGCTCTTTCCCAGGGGTAAAGTGGCCGGGGCGTGAAGTTGACCACTCGCCTCAAACTAGTGCCAAGGTCAAGAAAATGTGGATCTATATATCCACTCCCCTATATGTCTTCATGGCGTAGTGCTTAATTAGTTAAGCACAGGAACAACTTTACATTTTTACCTTAACCTGCTGCTGTTGTTCTTGGCATGAGTAATCAAAACCAGCACTTTTTCTACAAATATGTTTGCCAGTACTGTCATGCTTGGTTTAAGCCTCAAGGCTGAATATGTAATGCACCAGCAGATGGGCTACTATTGACAAATTTCCCAATGTGCATCATCTGTCATCATCATCATCTGCTGGCACATACTGGTTGAAGAAAGACACTGACCATAACCATTTCATTATTCTGTACCAACACATCCTAATTTCCAGCATAATTTTCTCTTTCTTACTAATCAATTATATTTCTAATGTTTCAAGCACTGAATTCACATCTCATGCATCACAGTTTGGGCACATTTTGCCAAATTGCATGAAGCTTTGCATATGATAAAAAAAAGTTTCAGGGAAGAGGATGTAGTTTAATTCATAGACCCGTTCTATATTTAAATAACAAAGAAATACTTATTCATCAAATTTAAAATTTTTAGGTATTTATATAACAGAAAACTTAAGCTAGGCCACTCATATATAATACTGTTGTCAAAATTAAACAAAGCTCTTTATTTGATTAAATCCTTATAAGACTCAGTAAGTATACCCCTAAAGGCCACGCCATAGCTTAAGCTGTTAGTCGCTGGCTTTCCACCGCAGTGGCCCTGGTTTGATCCCGGGTCTGGTCAAGTGGGATATGTGGTGGACATAGTGGCGCTGGGGCAGGTTTTCTCCGAGTACTTCAGTTTCCCCTGCCAATCTTCATTCCACCAACTGCTTCACAATCACCCTCAGCTATCATCTGGGGCTGGTACAATAGGCCAGAAGTGGCCGCAGTACAAGGAACTTAGTCCCTTAGTAACTTCATTACATATATTTGAGATCTTGTGCTTCATAAAAAAGAATAAGATTTATATGACTCAATATTCCAATATTCATAAGCATAACACAAAAGGGAAACAGGATTTGTGTGTCCAAATATGCAGCACTGTTCATTGTTAAGAAAAGTGTAATTAATAGAGGAATAAAAATACATAACTTACCCCTTGAATTAAAAAGAAGAGAAAATTGTAAGGTTTTTAAAAATAAATTAAGAATTTATTTATTACAAAACTGTTTTTATCCTCTACAAGAGACTTTAGTCACAATGATAAGATGGCAGTTTGGTAACTCGAGTTAAGTCTTGATATGATACGGAAGTATATAGTTGGTCTTTGCTCTGTTATCTTCACTAAACGTGTGATGCTTTGTTTTACATCGGTGACTTGTGTTTTTGGTGGTTTAAGTATATTTGTTGCTTTATACTGAATTGCTGGGAGTTGTCATCCATGAATAGTCAGAAGAAAGCTAAGCACAAAGTACTAATAACTGGGGATAGCCATGTAAAAAAAATGTGCGGCTGAGCTTCGATTAAACCTGAGCTCTAACCAATGAAATTTTGAAAACTTCAGAAAAAGAAATAGCTACACTGGGTAGTAAGGATGTCTTGATTTTATGGGTTGGAGCAAATGACATCAGCAAAAACAACACAAAAGGAGCTATAAAGAGCTTAACATCATATTTGGAGGTACAAAGGAAGACAAATATTGTCCTAATTAATACACCACATAGACACGATCTTGTATCAACATCCTGTGTAAATAAGGAAGTAGAGAAATACAATAGGCAATTGAAAAAAATCGTTAAACTGAATACAAATGTGGAGCTGATGGAATTGAAACTCCAAAGGAAGCACTTCACTGGACATGGGCAACATCTTAATTATAGCGGTAAAGAGTTAGTCTCCAAAGAACTGGCCAAGA